TTTTTTTTTTTTTTTTTTTTTTTTTTTTTTTTTTTTTTGGTAGGTCTGTGCTTCTGGTGGTTTTATTGTCAGAGGTGGTGTGCGTTTTGCTGACTGCTTTCTATTTATCTGGGAACATAACTGATGTTCCTTCATCCTCTTGGCTTTCTTGGGGAAAGGCTGGTATTTCCTCCTACGAAACGATAAGGGAATGGAACCTGGTGAACAAAAGAAAGCTCCACTCAAATACTAAAGTGAAATACTTTGTAAGTTCTAGAAGGAAACAAATCACTTAAAAACATACACCTTAAAACCCATAAATTTATAAAATCTCCAAAAAGAAAATACAAAAGACGGCTTGAACCTACAGAAAGAACCAGGAGAGGTATAAGAAGTGTCCCAGCAGTCCTTGGAGTGGGGAGCAATTTAATAACATAATAAGAGAAAGTAAAGGGAATTCCCTGGCGGTCCAGTGGTTAGGACTCCGCGCTTTCACTGCCAAGGGTACGGGTTCAATCCCTGGTCAGGGAACTAAGATTCCACAAGCCGCATGGCACAGCCAAGTGGAAAAAAGAGAGAGAGAGAGAGAGTAAAGAGACCCTTTCTGAGTCATGATTAGGAAGCCCATAATTTAAACCAGTAGAATGTGTAAATATCCTAAAATTAACTAGAGAAAAGATCAGTGCTATACTCAGACTTACAGCTTTTCCAAAGAATCCCTCAAGCCAATCTCTGGCATCAGACAGACCTGGATACATATTCTTGTCCTCCACTTACCATCTCTGTGACTGTAGAGAGGTTACTTACTTCCTCCATGACTCAGTCATCTCAACTTAAAAAGGACAATGACAAGAGTATTTCCCTCAAACGACAAAAATGAGATGATATCTGTAAAGCACTTAGCACAATGCTTGGTACATAGTAGGTGCTCATTGAATAGGAGCTGTCATTAAAAAGCAGAGGCTTCCACAAATCCCTGAAGTGCCTGCTTTGAGCCCACGGTGTAGGGTTGGGTTAGGTGGCTAGATTTGGATCCCTTCTCTGAGTTAGGTACCCTGTGTCTGGGTTTCCATAGCACTCTGGGTAATAGTCTACTTACTGTTTTGTCCCCACTGCTGTCCCCTAACCAGTCCCCTTCAGGTCCCTAGACTCGTCTCTTAATGCAGGGCCTATGTCTCATTCAATCTCTACATCCATAGCTCCTGGCACAGTTCCTGGCACATGGGAACAGAGAGTCAACATTGACTGAACTGAAACCAACAGCCTGGGCCACCACTGGCATTGGCAACCTTGTTTTCATGCCTGGGGTAGTGTTTGAATGAGGAATGATGGACAGAGAGATGGCTCCATCCCCTAAACAGGGGCTTCCTATCTCAGAGTTTGCAGCAGCCATCACCAAGGAGGTTATTATTACTACTTTAGGGGTTCGTTATAAAGTGAAAAGTCCTAAAATCAATATAGTCAATATAATTTACTTCGATATAAAAAAATGGAAGCAGCCTCTTGGGAGCCATGCATGGCCCCTCTGTCCCAGGATGAGTTTTTATTATGGGCGTCCCCAAAGAATGGTGACCCTCCTGTGCTAGGTTCAACATCCCTGCGTTCTTTTAAAGGATTCCTTTTAGTTCCCTGAGCTGGCTACCTGTGACTACAGTAGGCTTTAAAACAAGTTCTAACATCTTTTCCCAAGCTTTAACGGATGCCTCCTTGTGCTGGTGCTGTATTTTATGACAGCAAACAAATCCATCTTCACACTATAGATACGTATTCCTATTGCCATGTAGAGTCCTAGACCTCCCTGTACAGTATGTAAACCAAACCAAAGTACACTTTATTCAACTAAATAGGGGGTTTTTCAGTTTCAATTATTTTGTTAATCTGAAATGGAAATTAGGTTGCCCAAGGGCTCTGTTTTTCTAAACTGGCTGGTTAATTGGGACCACCCCCAAACAGTCATGCTTTTATGTCCCCTTGGAGCATTCAGGGCTCTTGGTCAATAGAAGTAAATTCATTATGAGCTTCCCTCCTTTCAAAGGCATTTCCTTGGTCCCCAAATTTTGAATTAACCAGATTCGAGTGTAATCCCATCCTTCTGTGGTCCAGGGTTTAGGGTCACTGTAAATGCCTAAAAGACTGTTTCGTTTGTTTTCCTGAAGTGTCTAGTTCAGTGCTCTGCATACAATGAATTCCTTTTAATAAAGTGCCTTTTGGGTTCTATTCTTCTGTGCTTACTCTTAGCTCAAAAGGAAAATGGTAAAGGGCAAATTTGGTGACACTTATTTCTGACCCACGTGATAACAAGGCCAAAAAGGGGAGGAGGGTGTTATAAAAAATATTTTCTCTGTAGAGTCCCAGTTAGGAAGTCTGGAGAAAAAGAAGGGACTTCTTCCTCATTACAGATTTGATTCAAACTCGTGTGTGGCTCGGAATGCCCTTGTGCTAAGGAGGCAGGCCTCTCCCAGTGGCAGAGAAATGGAAAAAGCCACTGTTGGACAGGGGTCCGTGGTGACATACTCATGAGTACCTCGGTGTAGGTCAAGGCAACTTGGGACACCTGGATCCCATCTCCTCTCCCCTTTACTTCCCTCATTCTGTTTCTTCTCCTCTTGTGTCTTTCCCACCCTCCCCATCTCTCCCATCATTGCCTGCCTATGCAGTCCTTAAGCTAGTCACTGGTACCCACAGGCTGCTAAAGGCCCTCAGGGATAGAGAGCCTGGCTACGTCATATATATTAGGAAGGGTCCATAATTAGGGCGAGAACGAGACAGCATGAGCGAGAGCAAGGGTAATGGAGAGTTCTTTTTCTCTCAAAACATACCTGAAAGTCATAAGCAGAATAAGGTGGCAGGTGAGGAGGGCTATGGTAGTAGGTATTATAGGATGCCACTTGAGGACGAGCGTAGTAAGAAACAGTCGGATGGGCATTTTCAACAGAACAGTTCAGTGCTGGGAGAGCTGGGTTCTGCAGAAAAACATAAATTAGAAACAACATAAACGTTCATCACTAGGAGAATGGTTAAATAAACCATGGTACATTCGTACTACAGAATACTATGGAGCTATTGATAAACAATGATGTGCACCTATATTTAGTGACAGGGAAGTTGTCCAGGATATATTGTTAAATTAAAAAAACAAAAACAAGCCATTGGCAAAACTATGGAGACAATAAAAAGATTAGTGGTTGCCAGGGGTTGGGGTTGGGGAGAGGGATGAATAGGCAGAGCCCAGAGTACTTTTAGGACAGTGAAAATACTGTTTGCCACGATAATGACGGATACATGTCACTATACATTTGTCCAACCCACCTAGAGCCCGTGCTCCACAACAAGAGAAGCCACCGCAATGAGAAGCCCGCGCACTGCAGTGAAGAGTAGCCCCCGCTCGCCGCAACTAGAGAAAGCCTGCGCGCAGCAACGAAGACCCAAGGCAGCCAAAAATAAATAAATAAATAAATAAATAAATAAATAAATTTTTTTTGAAAAAAGAGTGAACCCTAAGGTAAACTATGAACTTTGGGTGATTCTGATGTGGCGATATAGCTTCATCCTTGGTAACAAATGCACCCCTCTGGTGGGGGCTGTGGGTAATGGGGGAGGCCGTGCACGTGTGGGGAAGGGGTACATGGGAAATCTCTATCTTCCTCTCAATTTTGCTGTGAACCTAAAACTACGCTAAAAAAATAAAATCTTTTTAAAAAGGCACCATGTTACATTAATGTAGCATAATCCCGGTTTATGTAAAACATAAAGACTCAATCATACACATATGTGTGTTTGTCAATGAAATTAATCTGGAAAGATTCACAACAGACTGTTAACTATGGTTATCTCTGGGGAGGGCAGCAGTACTAGGAAGTAAATGGGGACTCTTCACTTTCAATTATATAGCCAAGGTTTTCACAATTAATATGTATTACTTGTGTCATTTCCCCACAACTTATTATTTTGAAAAATTCAAACCTATAGAAAAGTTGAAATCATTTGTATGATTTTCAAAAACGAAAAAGAAGAAATTGAGACCCCAAATGCAAAATGTCAAACGGACAAGGCTATCGCTATTGCTGTGACAGAAATGTGATCAATCACAAAGGGTTTATAAAAGTTGTAAGGATTCTTGCAGATTCCACCCCCACTTTTTGGGAGAACAAAGCAATGCAGAAAGAATTTAATACCATTTTTATAACATGGTGACGTGTGTAGCACTTCAAGGGTTAAAGCTAATCTTATCCAGGATGGGGTTGCAGATTTCAACAAGGCCAAAACACTGCTCAAGGAAGCCACCACCGCTCATTCGTTCCCAAGCAGGACTGTGCTCTGTACCTTATGAGTGCCACATGGGTCAAGGTGTGGGTAAATGTTCTTTCCATCATCCATGTCACTGACACCCCCTCCATTCATGTGGATAATCGACAGCTGTCCGTAAAATCAACGTGTCTTGTTTCTAGTACGTATCTACTTTGCACTAACGGAGAGCAGAAGCTTCCTCTCAAGTGATGAAAATGTGTGGGCAGGCTTTGGCAATGTCACAGGCAACCATGGTGGGATGTTGGCAGAGGAAACTCCCTTATAGCAAGTTTCAACACAGTCTGTTGCTCTCTTCCTTGGAGTGGGTTACTGTTTACATCTCTAGGAGGTTTGAAGAGCTACAAGCCTCAGTCATTATGATGCTGCTCACAGACAACCAGAGAAATGTTTCTCAGCCTCTCTCTTGTGTGGGAGAGAACTTAGATCTTGACCATTCCAAGGGTTGGCTCACGTTACAGAAGAGTGCTCAGAAATGCCCTTACCTCCACAAGGATTCCAAAAAGAAATGTCATCCCTGAGGAAGTCCGAGAAACCATGTTCCCTTGGCCTTGTGTCAGTTAAAAACACACCCTCCAGCTCTTGCAAAATGAAACCAGTTCTTCTATGCAAATAAACTAAGCTTAACCATAGAGAAGCAATCATGCAATGTAAACTCTATCTAGAAAAGGTTTTGTGCGTGCAGCGAGGCTGGGGGTCCAGGATAATCTTTAAAAGGAAGTTGACTATTATAGAGAAAGAAACACAGGAGGAAGATTAAATAAGCACAAGAAAGCCACAGAAGAGAAGTGTAGAGGGCGTAGAGAAAATGGACAGGGCACCAAGAGAGGTTGAGGGAGTGAAGGGGGGTGAAGTCAGGGGTCAGGCAGGGGAGAAGCGAAAGGGATGGCCCCAAATAATGGTCTGGTTATGGTTTTTTTTTTTTAATATTTATTTATTTTGGCTGCTCCTGGTCTTTTTGTTGCGGCATGCGGGATCGTTACTTGCGGCAAGTGGGCTTCTTAGTTGCAGCATGCATGTGGGATCTAGTTCCCGGACCAGGGATCGAACCCGGACCCCCTGTATTGGGAGCATGAAGTCTTACCCACTAGACCACCAGGGAAGTCCCATGGTCTGGTTATGTTTTAAATCAGTAATTCTGATTTTCCAATAAATCTGGGCTCCATCTCTACTTGTGTGTGCATATAGGAGTATGTGTATTTCTGTACCAATAATTCTGGGGCTTAAGTTATGAGACTCCCATTTTTGACCAGTAGCATTCTGAGTTCCAGTGAAACAAACAGTTACTAGGTAGCACAGGAAATGGTCAAAGCCGTCTCTCCTGGACAACACTGAGTCTCTTCTGAGACAACAATTGCGGACTTTGGAAAGAAGGCCGCTTTGACTTCTCCTCACTTTACTCTAAACCAGAGACATCAAGTAGGAGAAAATGGCAAGATATCAAATCATCACCTTTTAAAGATTCACCTCAAATTCTTATATCTTTGGGCAGCAAACACTTCGGTCATCACACATTTGTTCAAGACCCTTTTCACCAAGCCCCTCTGGTCAGGGAAAGAAGACGTCTTTTTTCCTTTCAGGTTCCCACAACTCTGGAAACGATGCTCTGAGCTGATCTCTTTGAAGGCTGCCAGCTCACAGCTTCTGGCTCCTGGCCTCCCTCCTCAGGAATGCCCTTCATCAGCCAGCACCCTTGGGCCTCCCTGCAGCCCCCAAGGCATTCTACTCAAGGCGGAGGCACGCCAAGAGTCACCAAGCACATTTGGACCCAGGCCGAGGATTTTATGTAGGCCTACCTGGTTGATGTTCCAGGATTTTCCACACCATGCCTCATTTTAATAAAGTGATCGAAACAATGGTTCCTCCTTGGTGCTCCCATCTTATAACTCCCGCTTGTTCTCTCCCGTCATGAATCAAATCTCCTGCCCCTGCTCTTTGCCTTATCTTTCGTTTTCCCCACTGGCCCTTGATTGGGTTCCCAGGCCTGGCATTTGATGACGCTCAGGTCTTCCCTCGCTCTCCTTTCCTCAGAGAAGCTCCCAACAGGTGGAAACAACTTGCTCTTAAGTTTTTTAATGAAAGCAACTAAACAAAGGAGGTAATATCTGTTAAAACACTTGTAAAACCAGAAAGGGTTCCACTCCCAGCTCTGCTATTTAGCCCTAGGCAGGTAACTTGACCTCTGTTGGCCTGTTTCCTCATCTGTTAATGGGGGGAGTAATATTTACTTCACGAGGTACTAGTGGTGGTGAGAAACCGAGAAAGAAATTGTACAAAAGCCCTTTACGGAGAGTAAAGGGGCCATTACTGGCACCTCTCAGGACAGACTGTCAACAAACCCCTATTCCCCTAGAGATCAAGGTCACAGTGAAATTAACAGTGCAGACTGTACACCTGAAACTAATACGCTATTGTAAGTCAACTTACAAGTGGGCTTCTTAGTTGCAGCATGCATGTGGGATCTAGTTGAAAGGAATCTGACTATTATAGAGAAAGAAACACAGGAGGAACAACAACAATTGTTGTTCAACAACAATTCAACAATTAAAAAGAGTTCAGAAATAAACCTAAACATCAATGGTCACCTGAGTTTTGACAAGAGTCCTTGCAGGAGCCCCACAGAGCCTACCAAGTGGCCGCCAGCCACTCCATTTGTACGTGTCCATGTCCGAGAGCTCGAGGGATAATTCAGAGAAGCCTTAACACTCATCCTCATGTCCCATCTCAACTCACCAGCCCCAACCCGAAGCTTCTCTTCCAGCCAGAGCGGCTCAGATTCTACACAAGGCCTCTGCTTTCACCTGCCCCCTGGGGAAAGTCTCCAAGAACAAAGGGCATTCTTTTCTCTAAAGAAGCTCCAACCCAGAAACAGCTTTTCTGAAGCTTTCTCACCCCAATTCTCCGTCAGGCCCGAACTTACAGCCTTCTCCCTCCAAGGGGCCCCCCTACCTTGAGGCTTCCCCCGAGCTTGGGCTTTCCCGAGTGGGAGGAGGGGCCCGGGAATGAGAAATGCGTGTATGAGAGAGGGAGGGGAAAAGAGAAGGAAAGTCAGGCTGGGCAGGAGCAGGGTCACCAGCGGGAACACTCAATACTTCCAGTTAGCCCGGTTCTACTGGGGACTTGGTGCCCAAAACTGCAGTTTTTTTCTCTTCCCTGGTCCTACTGCATCTTTCACTTTCCATTACTCATCCTTTTGACAGTCCAGGGCCAAACTACAAACTGTCTTTCAGCTTCCTGTTCCTCAGTGACCCCCCCCAAATGGGACAGAAACAGCCAAAGGCCTAGGGGTTGTCTGCCTCATTTCTGGGGTCAAAGGAAAACCCTTTTTAGGCACAAAATAATTCCCTAGACATGGGTGGGACATTTCTTTAAAGCAGCCATACTCAACCATGGCCACAGTTGGAGTCACCTGCGGGGCTTTTAAAAAAGTATTGATGCCTGGGCTTCAATTTAGACCAATCAAATTGGCATCTCTGGAGGAGCAGTCCGGGCAGCCGGATTTTTTAGAGCACCTCAGGTGATTCCATTCTAATCTGAAGCCAGGTTGAGGACCATAGCTCTAAAGCTATTATCTCCATTATTAGAGATCAAGGTTTATTAAATAAGCAAATAAATGCTTTAAAAGCAAAAGAAGGAAGGACCCCACTATTATGGAGCACCTACTGGGCGCTGAGTCCTGGGGTGCCTTTTCAGTCATACACACGAATATTGAAAAGAGTTGAAAGAGAGCACAGGGGACGCAGGGAGACTGAGAGTGAGGTTAAGGTTGAGGACAAGACCTGACCAGCAGTTTAGCCTAGGGCTGGGCCTTCACATGCAGAAAGAGTCCCGAGGCTCTTTCTGGAGAAACTCCAGGAGGAAATTCCTGGGGAGGGGGAGACAGACGAGCAGTACTCTTACCTGTAGCTAAAAACATCTTTGCTTCCAGCTCTCCCAAAGTCTGTTAATGGAAATGCCACCCAAAAAGGTTTCTACTAAAAGTGTGTGTGTGTGGAGGGAGTGGGGGGCGGTAATTAAAGGCTATGTTCACATAACTAGCATGAGCCCCGCCCACCCCCAGAATGTGCCTCAAAAACACAGACAACTCATGTTAACAAGAAATGTCTGCAGGCTGATGGCATCACCTGGCTCCTTCGACTTGAGCTGTTTGAAACCAGCTACATTTTTTGGGGGGGGCCCCACTGCATGGCATGTGGGACCTTAGTTCCCCCACCAGGGATCGAACCCGGGCCCCCTGCAGTGGAAACACGGAGTCCTAACCACTGGACCGCCAGGGAAGTCCCAAAGGCAGCTACATTCTGGAACCAACGGTTTCTGTTCCTCCCTTCAAAGCGTGGGTCCCCATTGCCCCCAACCATCTAGCCTCGCCCCAGCCCTGACAGGAGGAGGGGCCTCTGTGGGATGGGAAGTCACTTCTTTCCTTACCATGTCCTTAAAGCCCCCCAGGACAGCGGCAGTGATGATGCCCAGGAAGAGGCCGACGATGTTGAGGATGGTGGCGGACCAGAGCAGGTGGTAGAGGTGGATGATATCCTGGCAGCTGCTGACGTCAATGTACTCATAGTAGCCACCGGTGATCTCCACCCGGCTGGATGGGGAGAAGCACATCCAGTCAGTCTCCAGGGAGCAGGCTGTCCCTCTAGGGCTTTGGCTACCATGCGGCTCAGTGAAAAGACAGGTGGGCAGGTGGGGAGCTATCGTAAGGGACATCGTAGCCAACAATGCACTCGGGGAGCAAGATACGATAATCAATAAAAGTGTGACTACTGTTTGTCCCCAAAACCCCTCCTACCTGCCAGAGAAACACTTGTTACCATCAGCTAACGCTAATCCTAGATGGCAATTATTGACACCTGCTATGTGCCCAGCAGGGGGCTAAGCATTTTACAGACATGAATTCATTACATCTGTGGTAATATGGCGGCTTCTAGTCAACAGGTGACTATTAAAATTAAGTAAAAAATTCAGTTCTTCAGTCTCACCGGGCACATGTTAAGTGCTCAGCAGCCACAATTTTAAGGGCCACACTAGTGGCTGGTTACTGTACTGGACAGAGCAGATTACAGCATTTCCATCATCGCAGAAAGTTCTATTAGGCTGCACCGCAAATCCTTACAATATTGCATGAGGTAAGTACCACCACCGTTCCCGTTTCACAGATGAAGAAACTGAAGCACAGAGAGGTTAGGAATTTCCTCAAGTCGTAAGCGGTAGAGCTGGGATCTGAATTCAGGCTTCAAAGATTTCAGTGTTTCCCCTCCCAAAACAAAACAAAACACCAACAAACAAAAAACAACATCCCAATAAAGTACTAAAGCTGAGTTCCTGCCCAAAATCTGAATATCACCTCCTCAGACAGGCCTTCCCTGACCACTCTGTCCAAAGACATCCCCACCCCCACCCAGCCCGGTCACTCTCTAGCCCACTACTTGCCATGAACTGAATTGTGTTCCCTTCCAAAATTCATATATTGAAGCCCTAACTCCCAAGGTGACTGTATTTGGAGAAGGGCTCTTAGGAGGTAATTAAGGTTAGACGAGATCATAAGGGTGGGGCCCTAATCTGATAGGATTGGTGGCTTTACAAAAAGAGGAAGAGAGAACTCTCCACACGCATGCACACACTGAGGAAAGACCATGTGAGGACACAACAAGAAGGTGGCCATCAGCAAGCCAGGAAGAGAGCCCTCACCAGAACCTGACAATGCTGGTGCCTGATCTCAGACTTCCAGCCTCCAGAATTATGAGAAAATAAAGATTTGTTGTTTAAGCCAACCAGTCTATGGTATTTTGTTATGGCAGCCCAAGCTAATTTCCCTTCCCTAAATCCTCTGCAGCACTTACTCCTTACTAATGTGTGTGCTTCATTACTGTCTGTCTCCCTAACTTGAATGTGAGCTCCATGAGGATAGGGACCTGGTTTGTTTTGTTCATTGCTGTGCTGGACACATAGTTGGTGCTACATAAATACTGGTTAAATTAATTAAATGGAAGCTCCTGTCTTCCTGGATGTTGCAAACTAGTTTACAACTTGGCCACCGGAATCAATAATGAATCTTAAACACTGTGGTTCTTACAATTAAACTTAGAACCAAACCCCCTGGCATCAGGATAGTTATGTGTGACTCCCCTGCTATAAGAATATAGAAAATGAAAAAGAAAAAAAAGTTAAACGTTAACTTCCAAAATGAATCAGGGAGAGATTATTCACAGAAGACTTTTAAACTTTACAGATGAATTACCTTAGAATTCTTTAAAACCAGTGCTTCTTTAAGGAATTGAAATCAGTGTGGTTACAGGACAGCCTGCGTCAAAATCTGTGTTTGTGTGTCTATGTGCCTGCCTGTGTCACTGTGTTATTTGTGTGTGCCTGTGGGAGTCTCTGTGTGGCTGTGTGTGTGTGCATGCATCTTTGAGAAAGAGATGGTTAAACATGCAGATTCTGAGGCCCAGTCACAGCCCTACTAAATCTGGCAGAATCTCTTGGGGTGAGGCTCTGGAATCTGTGTTAATGAGCTCATTGATATTTGAGACCCGCTGTTTTAAATAGTAAGCTTCCATAGTGGAATTTTAACGGTGTTTCAATTCATCAGAATTTGAGCTAGATTTCAGGTTTTTCGGGAACATAGCTGGACACCACCTGGAAGCATACATTGAGTGTCTCCTATTAGCTGGCATGGTACTCGAGCCTGGGGATGGAGCAGGGAGGATACACAGATTACTTACTGCTCAAAAAGGCACTGCTGTACAAGGACTCTCCCCTGAAAATGACAGGCCTGTGTATAAGGGCGAGTGTGGGGTTGTAGGGGTGCAGGGGAGGCTTGAGAATCAGCGTCTGACTTCTCCCCAGGTATCTTTGCTTATGTCCTAAAACACCGAGGGTGGGCTGGTAGCACATACAGATGGGTGGTACAGCAGAGCAGACTCTGGAATCAGACTGCATTTGAACCCTGGCTCTGTCACTTATTTGCTGTCTGACCTTGAGCAACTTTCTTAACTTATCTGAGCCCGGGGGATTTCGTGAGCGAATGCACGGAAGCAGTACTCTAGCACGTTATAAGGGCCCCCCCCACAAAACATGTAGCTGTGTTTTTTTCCCTTTTAAGAGCCAGCCTCTGGCAAAATGATTCAAACCTTTGAATCGTGTTCTTAAAGGCAGTGACGCTTTAAAAGCACAGACCACAACATGGGGCTAGGTTAGTAGTTCATTTTAAAGTAGTCACTAATTGTAGAGAATATATGTTTGGTTTCAGTTTGAGCAGGTTCAGCTGCTACTAAAATGATTTTTTAACTGAATTGTGAAGCAAAAGAACATTAATACTAGATCCGGTTCAGGGTTTAGCTAATTAATGTGGTTTGTTTCTGTTTGAGATTCACGATTCCATTTGGTTCAGTCTCTGGGCAGAGCTTTGCCTGATATTCCATCTTTTGGATTCTCACTGCTCCCACCCTCAAGCCTCCGTGACTGCAGGGCCCTCCTGCCAGACCCCATCACTGCCTGGTTCAGCTTCCTAACACATTTGTAAAACTAAGTCATTCATTTAATCAAAACCCTTCCCTGGCTCCCCATTACCTTCAGGAAAAAGTATCCCAATTCCTCAGTCTGCCATAATCCAACTCCAAAATGGAATCCACATTCCAGCCAGGCTGGAATCCTCAGAAGCACCAAACTGGCCATGCTGGGTACTTATTCCAGACCTTTGCTCAGATTTCTCCCCCTGCGTGGGAGGTACTACCTTCTGTTCTCTGCCTGTCCTGATCTCTCCCGCTGCGCAAGGCTTCAACACACACTTCTCATTCTTCAAGGACTCCAGCACCTATTCATTAGCTTTGTACCTGGACTCCCACAGCCTCAGTCTGCTCTTCTTAGTTTGGCACATTGCATATGTCAATAATTCAGCTATTCATTTCATCTGATATTTACTGAGACCCTACCCAGTGCTGAGTACCATGCCGGGTGCTAAAACTACAACCAAGGCCAAGGTGGACACGATGGCTCTGTCTAAATTCTAACCTCTGGAGGGCAAGGTCATCTCTTACACTTCTTTTGTGTCTCCCTCACTGCCTCCTAGCTGGGTGGTAGAAATATTATGGGTCATCAATAGATACTTGGTGAATGAGTAACTGAGTTCAAAGACGGGATCATTGCATCGATCATAAGATTGATTACCCAGTGCGGGCTTTTACCCCCTTGCTCCCAACTTGCTGGGTGTGACTGGAGAAACAGATAACCTCTCTGTGTTTCAGTCCCCATTCAACAGAGTAGGAGGCAACAGATCTTGGATAAAGCCAAAGGGCATCCTTCTGCTCTTCGATAAGGGCCTGGAACTATTCACCAACTCTTGGTGGACAGGCAGCGGCTATGGGCAGCCTCTCTGCATCTTTCTCTCACCGCGTGTATTCTGTGTATCAGAATCCCTCCCCATAATCCCCCTGGTAAATTGAGTTCCTTAAGGGCAAAATGTTATTTTAAGGATATCTATCCTTCTAGAACAGTCCCTGGCACACAGTAGGAGCTCAATAAAACTTTGGCAAAGGGAGGAATGGATGAAAGTGAGCTATCATCTTTCATTTTATTCATCACCAGCTGCGGCAGTTCACAAACCACGCCCATTTCCTTTCGCTTCCTTTAGGTTACACACCAAAACCCAGTGATATTGACTTGACCTCTCCAAAGCTGAGTGAAGGCTGAAAGGCAGCAGCTGCAGAGCTGCGTCCTAGAGAAACCACCTTCCTGCACAGGGTGAAATGGAATCGTCTGTGTTCGGTATTAAAACCTCGCTGTCCCTGACGTCAAAGAAGGTCTGTGGCTTCGAGGGGACAGCAGAAACTCTGTTTCCGTAGTGCTGTACAAATGACTGCCTGATGTTTTTGTTCCCACTTTTTGTTTTTTCTTGGCCTCCTTTCCAGGAAATGGACTAGAGGAGCTGGCAATTGATTAAAAATAGGCTTCGTGTGAGGAAAAAAAATACGCGTTCGGCAAAGTTAAAGTCTCCGAGCCTCAGAATGCTTGCAGCTAGCTATATTTAGGCCTGGAGATTAGGTCTCCTTCGAGCTGGCTGGAAAAGTCTCGGGTCAAGGAAGATCTTTTCCTTCTATTGTAGGATCATCACCTCTTAAGTCTCGGGGCCATGCTTTCTGACCGCATGGGACTGTTTCCTGATGAAAAGCTCAGTAAGTGCTTTGCTAGTGGCTTTGCCCTTGGAATCTCAATGCTACAGACCTGGGCAAGGCCTCGATCGCCGCCTGAGGCTGGTCCCCAGGCATCAGGTAGGTGAACAGCGTTTCCAGCTCAAAGGTCTTTAGGGGCAGTGTCCCCATGAACCCTCTTAGCTGTCTGGTCCAATAGTTTATTTTCCTGGGGAGAAAGGTGTTCCTTTTTGATCCTTTTTAACACATGTCACTCCCTTGTCATCAGGTCTTTCATTCAAGCCTGGTCCTGTGCCGGGGCCTGAGGATAAAGATAAGATGAAGTTGTGTTCGCTGCCTTTAGGGAGCCCAGAGTTTAGCAGAGCTCCTCATAAAATTCCTTTAGGGCCTTGAAGACGATCCTGGCACGACTTGCTATAAGAAAGTCAGTTATTATGAAGTTCAGATTGACAGGAAGATAAATTGGGCTTGAGTCTCCACTTAAGAAAAATTCACCTAAGGGCTCAGCTAAATGGAATTTAAGGTAGGATTTAGTTTATTCAGACCTTTTTCAGAAACACACCTAATTGTGGAGAGAAAGGTGTGCCCATAAGGAATCACTTCTCAGCCCTCTCAGAGGGCCTCCTCTCTCCTCCTGGGATCTCAGAACGGAAAGGGAAAGGAGAGGGGAGGGGAGAGCTGGCCAGAGGACAGGGTGTCAAAAGGAGGGAGGGGGTAAAAACAGAGGGGAGGACTGAGCAGGGGGAGGGGGATGGACAAGGGGAGGCAAGAGGAAAGATAGCAAACTAACCCCAATTCCCCTAGGACCTATTTTACATTCCTTTGATCATTTTTGGAAGGATGGGCTCAGGAAGTACAATTATAGCCATCACTGCTAAGGAGGGAAGTCCTTTACAAGTGTTAGTTATTATTACAACATGAATAATTGAATCTCCCAGATAATCCCCAAACCTCATATGAGTTTTTAAGTTTCTCTTCCTCCACCTCCAAACCTTTTAATGAAATGAGACTGAAATGAGACCGGTGCTAGCAAAGAAAGTAAAAGGGCTGGCGAGAGTCCCCCTTCTGCTCCCACCGTCCATCTGCCTCTGGTCTGTCAGGTCTTTAATCCTCAAACCGGAGAAACTGGCCCCCCAAAACCATGAGTAGGGAGTGTGAGTGAGGAGGGGTGCATCCAGCTGACCTCTTTGGACCTAGCTCCATCCGGGCCCCTTCTGCCAACTCCTCCCTCCCTTCCGCCCTCCCCCTCCTCAGCACCCCTGCACTGATAGCTGAAAGAAAATACGTGCATGGCAGGCACTGGCTGACACACCCCGCGTACAGGGCCATTTACTTATGTTCTGCATCACCTGCTCACGCATTCCTGTCTATTCAACCTTCTAAATTGCTCTTAAAAGTACTCTTCTCTTTCCAGCATCCCCAAACCAACTTAATCTAGGCTCCGTTCCCTTTGGCCTGGACTCTTGCAGGCCCCCTAGTAGCCTCCAGTCTCTAACCACTCAAATCCATCTTTCACGCTATACCCTTCAATGGCTCCCAGTTGCTCACAGGGTCAAGTCCAGAGGCATTCCTATGGCCAGTGAGCCCTCCATGATCTGATCTATGACCAGCGCTCTGCCCTCACCTCCCCCACAACTTCTGGGAAGACCCTCCCCACCGCCACCCCACTTGGGTTTGTTTCCTAACTCCCTCCTTATCCTTTAAGTCTCAGCTCCCACATACCCTCCTCCTTGACACGCCCCCCCCTTTACCCCCAGCGACTCTGACTTCCAGTCATTTGCATAGAGAGGGTCTCCAGTACATCCCCAGATCCGCACCGCACTTCTCACACTAGACTGCAATCAATGGCTCACAGGCCGGTCATCCCTGCTAGTCTGTGAGTTTCTCCGCAGGACTCTCTGTATTCCTGGCACCTAAATATATCTTGAAAGAGAATAAATGATGTTTTAACAATTGAAGGGCACAGCGCCAGAGTGCTTGTAGCAAAACTAGCACCAAAATCTAAGTTCTGTGAGGACAAGGAATTTTGTTTTGTTTGCTGCTGAATCTCTAGCGTCTGGAACAGAGTCAGGCTATTTGTTGAATGTTGTTGAACTTGGACTTAGACAGAACTGAGTATGAACCCTACCTCTACCATTTTCGAACTCTGTGTCACCTTGAACTAGCTGTCTGTTTCCTCTGAGCCTCAGTCTTATCATCTGTAAAATGGGGATAATAATTCTACATACATCATAGGTAAGAATTACATGAGATCAGATACTTGACAGCACCTAGCATGATGCCTGGCACAGAGAAGGCAGGTAATGCATGTCAGCTGAAATCCTTTGAAGACCATTGTCTTCTACTTCTCTGATCCCTACCATGCGCCCTTCCCCCACCCTAGCCCTGCTCGTGCCCACTGTGGTCAAACCATCAGGGGCTCGGCACTCACTTGCCGCAGTTGTAGAGGTCACAGCAGAAGCAGGTGTTGCCCCGGATGCGAGGTGTGCAGAATCCACGGCTGAGGTGAGGGCAGTTCACCTGGGGACACACCACAGTGAGTAGGTGAGCTGGCACTGGATGGGAGGCGGGACCCACTGGGATTGGCACTGTGAGTTAGTGACTGATGGAGACGGTAAGGATGGCTGTGAAATGAATACACCAGTGCATGGGCAGGATGGGGCTGGGCAGGTGGCTGGCTGAACTCGTGTGTGAGGCAAGTCACTGTGGAGCTGGGCTCACGTGCAGCCTCAGCCACAGCCCTCGGGGCCCCATCCCTGAAGGGTGGAGATGGAGAGGAGGAAGGACGGATGGAAGGACAGACAGAAGAACAAATGGATGGTAGGAGATGAGGATACAAGGGGCGGGAAATCAGGGTATGGGGGAAAGGGGGCCAGATGGGAAGGAAGACAGAGGGGCCATCACATGCACTCTGAAGTACAATAGTACCTCTCGAGCTGCCTGGGTAAGGTTCCTCATAACCCTCGCGGAAGGAGAATTTTTGGTTGAGGAACTTATGACCTTATATAGGAAAAATAGGGTTAGGGGGACCAGGGTTACAAGTGAACCTATGGAAGTCATTATTAACATTTTTACAGTCACCAAGTTAACACAAGAATGAGAACACGATGAAATCCAGAGAATAGCAATGACATTTTACACATCTCGTGTTTGCAAAAAAAATGTAAAATTTAGCTTCCATTTATCATCTCTTATTTGTGAGAAATCTTCCAGGCTCTCCCCCGCCCCATATGGATGCAATGAAGTGCTTGTAAATTTGTTTCACTGTGTTATAGAGAATATTGGTGGTAAACGCGCACTTTTTTCTATATTGGGTCCTTCATCCAAAAGCTCATGCCTTTCTGATAAGCTGTTGGCACATACATCTTTCTACTCCTTTCGAACCCGAGAATAGTTAGAAAAATGGTAAACTGGTGATTGGGGAAGGAAAATGGGGCAAGTGGATGGCACTGTTCACACTGTATGTTAAGGAAAACAGCTTCCCCTGAAGTTATGCAATGCAGTCACCATTTTATATCCACTTGCCACCTTTTTCTAACAGTCACAAGTTTACCATTTTTCTAACTATTCTCAGGGGCGGCGGGGGGCATTGACTTTCAATTTGAAGTTAATAGAGAACCAAATGGTCGAGGTTGCTAGAAGCACATGGTAGAGTTTTATATTAAAGGGCTCTCTGGATTGGAGAGAGGTGAATGTGAGCTGAAATGAAAGCTTTCCAAAAATGACCTGGAGCCGAGCTTCACCTCACCGCCCACTGCCTCTGCTTCTGTGTGAGGCAACAAGGAACCCAAGGAGAGCCATGCGGGTCAGGAGAGACACACCCTCACGTGTCCACTCAAGCAGCAACAGACTGGCCTCCGGGCGTGTCATGACAGGGGCCAGGCCGCCAGCCCAGGCCTCCCCAGAGCCTCAAAGTGGACCAGGCTTCTCAGTGACCCTCATTTGGCTTCCTGACCCCTCCCATATGTGGGACTCAGACTCTGCCTCCCCGGTCCAGGCCTGCTGCCTTGGTGGGGCTCCCACTTTTCTTCCAGCTGGACATCAAGTCCAGGCAGCTGAACCATCATCCACAGACATGGGGGAGGGACCTACCCTGTGGCCTCTGTACTCTTCATCTGTCCCTCTCGGGATCAAAGCCACACACTGAGAGGCTGCCTGCTGGGGTCAGAGGGGCAGCCTGTGGCCACAGAACAAAGTAAATCTGATTAGGCCTCATGAGGCTCTAACCTATGACCATGGCCCCATTAGCACCGTGCTCCGACCCACTGAACAAATCAACTAAACATACCTTGTAGCAAGCTGTAGGCCCGGGAAAAAGAGTAAAAGAAAGGGGGTTCCAGGCAGAACAGGAGACTTTCCCCAAAGGTAAGACATGCAACCTCCTTCTGGCTCTTACCTCCTCAGCTTCCTTCTGGGATGTCTTGGGCACATAGTGGCACCGGTTAGCATAGAGTGGTTTCAGATCCTGGAAATGGAAACACCAAACCAAATGGGTTTTGGCTTTGGAAAATAGAGCAGCAAGTGTTCTGATTGGTAATAAAAGATTTGAATACACACACACACACACACACACACACACACACCCCAGAGCAGACAGTGGGTTGGGTTGATTTCTGAAAACTGCCCATCTAGGGAGCCTGAGAATGTGAGGATCAGATAAAAATGTTCTAATAACTGCTTTCTATTGGGCTACTTGGTTAATGAGAAATTAGGAAATTGACTGAGAAGTGGGTTTCTTGAAATTTCCACTCTGGTTTTCTTTTATTTCTAGTCTTTGTCTCTTTGCAAAGAGTCCCCAGGGAACAAAAGTCAAAACTCCAAATTATTGCAACATCACACTCCCAATCGGAGGGAGGCCAGCTCCAACAATGAGGATTCATTATCACCTGGGGACAGGACCAGGGCTGGCTGACACGCACACCCTGCTGTCATTGCCACAGCTTTTTCAGAAGGAAGAGCTCAGGAAGCAAGCCCCAGGGGGATGGGTAGCCATGGAGCCTCTGCTGTAGATTTTAACTCAACTGAACGATGAGCCATTTTCACTCAACTACACAGATTAAAGACAGTGAACTCCAAAACTACCACTGAAGCCCAGAAAACTAACATGGGGCTCAAGGACAGTTGACTAACCCTGCTGGCTTGGGCAGCTTCCTGGTGAGGGAGCTCTCAGACACAGGGGCTGGGGTAGAACAGACAGACGCAATCCAGTGCTACCTGGAAACTGTCAGTCAGGGGATGCTGCCCACTTTCCGGGAGACACTAAACATCCCCTGACTGGTAGGGGGCTTTGACCAAAAGCAGGTTAGCACAGGACAAGCAGTTTATGCAAACTGACCTTTGGAACTCGGCCAAAAGCACCTTGGCAGAGGGAGTTTATCTATTGCCCCTCCTTCCCCCTAAACCCACTTCTCTCACCGTTTTCAATAAATCCTGGTGGCTGCTTTTCCCCACACATGTGATTGAGCATCTCCTGTACCTGACACCCAAGTGCCTCCTTGCCTCCCTGCCTGCTGCCCCGTCAAGGACCTAGGACCTTCCATCAGCTGCTCCTACATGAATGTCCTGACCACTCCGTGTTCTGAAAGTACACTGCCCTGTGGGCTCAGCCTGGAGTCAGGCTGGAAAGGAATGAGGGTTCTTAGGGTCACTGCCAGCAGGGTTTATCTTCCGAGTTTGGGCAATGGCAGAAGTCATCATCATCCTGCCGAAGGGGAGGCTTGATGTGCTGGTCGTAGCCCTCCTGACCTCCTGGTTCTCCAGAGAGCATTCAGCCACCAACTGCCTAAATGAAGACAGACGTGTGTGTGTGATGGTAGCCCATATGCTGCCTCTGGGTGCTCTTGTGCACTGAGGCCCCAGAGGAGGAACAAGCCCAGGTGACTGGCAGGTAAGAAAAGGCCACTTAGCCGCGCAGCCTTTTACATCCGAAGGGCTAGCAACTCCGGAGTGGAGGGCTGGCCACGAGACTGCTTTCTGCTGAGTGTCAGTGTGCTCTGGGCGAGGCCCTCTCAGGGCGCGTTCACACCCATTATTTCATACCGTCCTCATGTTAACCCTGAGAGGCAACCAGGTTACTATCACATCCACGTGGAAGAGGAGAGACTTTGGCACGAGGAGGGAAAGGGATTTTCCCAGCTAGTTAATTGCTACATTCGGGGAGGGGAAAGGAAGGAAACTGGAGACAAGAGAGAAGGGATGAGACACATTTAGAGGGGGGTCAGGAGGTAGGTCTTAAGGGGAAGCGCATATGCCCCCAAGCCAAAGGACAGGGCACCAGGAGGTTAAAGGGCCCCAACAACAGGAAAGGCTGGCTCTAACCCACCCGAGCGGTGCTGGGGTCCAAATGTGCCTTTCATTTAAACTGGCCAAGAGACATCACCATAGATTAATAAAGCCTTCTCCCTCAAAACTGTCTGGGTACCAGTGAGGACTGGCAGATGTCTTAGGACAGGTACAGTGTAGGCAAAAAGGTGTTCTCAAAGACTCATCCAGCCTTACCCCAACCTCCCGAATCAAATGCTCTACTGCAAGCCACTAACGGCAGGAGGTACAGAGGGCCTAGACTCAGAAGCTGGAAGAAACTTCCAGTAAATATAATTTGGATTTTTCTCCCATTGCCTTTGGCTGAGGCCAGTGATCAAAACCTTCAGGAGTTTAGGAGTCAGGGAAATGCAAATCAAAACCACAATGAGAAACCACTTCATACCTACTAGGATGGCTAGAATTTAAAAGTCGGATAATAACGGGAGTTGGCAAGGATGTGCAGAGACTGGCACACTCAGATACTTCCAGTGCGAATGTAAAACGGTGCAGCCACTTTGGAAAATTGGCAGTTCATCAAAAGGTTAAATGTAGTTACCATATGACCCAGTACTTCCAATCATAGGTATATACTCAAAGGAAATGAAAACATATGTCCACATAGAAACTTGAACACAAATGTTTATAGCAGCATTATTGATAACAGCCAAGAGGTGGAAACAACCCAAATGTCCATCAACTTGTGAATGGATAACCAAAATGTGGTATATCAATACAATGGAATATTATTAGACCATAAAAAGAAAGGAAGCAATGATACATGCTACAATATGGATAAATCTGGAAAACATTATACTAAGTAAAAATAGTCAGGTTACAAAAGACTACATATTATATGATGCCATTAAGAGGAAATGTTAATTAATATAGGGAAATCTGTAGAGAAAGTAGAGTAGTGGTTGCCTAGGACTTGGGGGAGCAGGGGGAATAGGGGAGTGATAGCTAAAGGGTGTGGGGTTGTTTGGGGGATGATAAAAATCTTCTAGAATTGACATGATAGTTTGCACATACCTGTGAATGTACTAAAAGCCATTGAATTATATACTTCAGATGGGTAAATTATATGGGACGTGAACCATATCTCAATAAAGATGTTTAAAGAAAGAAACATTAGGAGTGGGAGGAGGAGGGAAAAGGAGGAAGCCATTTTAGCTCATGATGCCATGAAAATCTACTGCAGGCTTCTTGGTCACTAGGCCTATGTTGCCATGGAGACTGCCTCAGAGTGAAGAGTGCTTGTCAAATGGGGATAATAACACCTGCCCTACATATCTCACAGGATTGCTGTGGGTCTCAAATGAGATAATAGATGTTAAGGCACATTGAAACACTAAATTCACTATACAAAAACAAGGAATTATTGTTATTAAGATGGCGCCTGTTGAAACAAAATAGCACACATACTGTGATTGTCTACAAGCATGCTACAAAAATAGGTATACACTCAGAGGGTAATATGCAAAAACTGCATATGCAATAGAATTGCTATGTTAGGGTGGTAGGCTAGTGGATGTTACAAGTTCCTGTTGTGTCACTTGCCTTTTCAAAAAGAAAAAGATGAAGAAAAAGATGGCTCTCTCAGCTAAACTCAAAAGGGATGAGTCTGATATAGGGGCTGACATATTCCTGACCCCAAAAGAAAACTGGACAAAAAGCTTCTCTCTTCCGTCCCATACTTTCCGCCCTGCCCAGTAATTATCTCCTGACATGCCAGCACTGACCATAGGAATTCCACTAATCTGGGCAAATGAGGGACTGACTCTTATGACTAGGAGAAGAGTCCAAGAGCAAGTTGGGATTGAAGTAATAATGTTGCGAATCATCCTTTCCCAGATCCATCCATACCCAGGACACTCCCTCAGGGTGACCCGCACTATTAGCCAACGACTGAAACGGAGTAAAATATGATGGATCCACACAATATTCTGATAATACAATTTTTCTCGAATTCAATTGTTTTAGAAAACATATAATTCCAACTAGTTCACAGGATGTTTTCATTTTCAATGTTGGTTCGCTTGGGGGAAAAAATGAGTATCTGAGGTTTTTGTGGGAGCTCAGGAAGCTGCTTGGTTCACTCTCGATTTGGGTTTGTGGGCCAGATCAGGGCTATACTATGACCTCCCTGGGATTTCTGCCTTTTGTGGACAGCTTCCTCCATTACAAATTGTTGAAAATGATATTTCATTTATTTTGATTGTATCTTATGACTGCATTGGTATAAAGGCAAATTTCTATTATGTGTGAAAACTTTGTTTCTGGCCTAAAAGTTCATCATTTTTCTTCTGATTTGAAAAGAAATGATCATATTTTTCTGGGACCCTGAAAGTCCGTGGGTCACAGGCACTGTTGTCTACTGAGCCCAACGGAGAAGGCGGCCCTAGGCCAGATATCTGGAATAGTAAGAGATGGAAAGCGCCGACCGAGGGGTGAGGGCTCCTGCAGGGAGCCCTGTGGGAAGGACCCGAATCCCAGGCTTCTCCTAGAAGGAGCACAGGTTTGGGTTTCAGGAGTAAAGTAGCCTTACTCGAGGCACAGCTTCTCCAGAACAGGAAGCATCTGATGCCTCTACTCCAGGACTGGGCTCGTTTTGGAGACTTCCAGCTCTGGGGCTTCCTCCAGATCCCAATCACATCATTCCTCTCCAACCATGAAGACAGTGAAGTTCAGGTATCCTAGAAAAGGTGTCTGTCCCCATGGGCTGCTCTTGTCACTGTTGGAGGTGGGGGAGGTCAGCTACTGCCACCGCCAAGGCTCTCAGGAAGTCATGTGGCTTCCTGCGGCTCTCTCCCTACCTGCTCACTCCCAACACCAATTCCAAGCCAGTTCCCAGGCCCTTGTCTCTGACTTTTCCAAATGTCACCCACATGTCAACAAAGGCTTAGCTCCAACCCCTCCACCATGGGGAAGCCTGCTCTGATCCAAGGTAAACCACTTGGGCACTTAGAGTTTATATGCCCAGCTTAGACCAATTTCTCTAGATGCCCATGTGTGTCCAGAGATGTCCTCATTTTGACATCACCTCCTTGAGGCCCTCTCCTGTACCCCTCACAGCCCTTGGCACACACCCAGCACACACACACTCGATGAAGCCTTGTTGTATTGCCCGTTTACTTTAACCCAGGACTAAAAATACTCACAATGTGTCTGGCGGCGAAGACCCCGTCGACTATGGCACAACAAAAGGCTGCAATCACACCAAAGCTGATAAAGACGATGGAAGCCACCAGCTGTGGGAGGAGGGGTGAGGGACAAAGCAAAAGTGTCTGTTAGCCTTCCACTATCACTGCTTCTGGAGACAAGGCGATCCCCAAGACACCGCCAGCCAAAGCAGAACTCTGGCCTGCCAGCCCGTGTGAAGCGTGAATGCCCTTTTCAGTCACGCAGCACGAGTGGGAGCGGGGGAGGGGGATGCGGAGAAGGGACCATTGAAGCACTTCTTACATTTTCGGGGCAAGCTAAGAAATTCACTCCAGGAGTCTATGAGTGCCCAAGGAAGAGAAGGCTGAGGAATTAGACTGCATGGCTCTTCCATTCTCAGACTCACTCAGAAAAATGTTGGACCTTTGACATCATGAAGTCCCACCCCCTATTTTATTTATTGTGGAATTGGAGGCTCAGAGAGGGGAAGTGGTGTGTCCAAGGTCACTATCCAGTCTATGGAAGAGCCTGTGCCCACCAACTCCTAGTCTAGTGTTCTTCCCAACCCCTCATGGTGGGCAGTGATGAAGAAGGGATGATTCTGAGGCCCTGCACAACCCTACATGGCCCTGCATCACTGAAGAAAAAGAACGAACACTCAACTTATTATGGCTTAGGTGTCAAAGACATTTTACAAGGGTTGAAGTCTCTGAAATTGATCAACTCTGTGTGGTACATACGAAAAAATTCAAGTAAGAGGAAAGTTTGCTGGAACCAGACTGCCCTATTCTCTGATCGTGTTAGATAACAGAAATTTTCCTAGTAATTTGTCTTCCATTACAAGGGCGATACTACAACCCAACGTGGGGGTAGGTGTTTCAAGGCGTAACCAGGGGCAGGGATAGGTACTGCCTAAGCCCACCATCTGCCCATGCTGACCCTCAAAACACCCTCTTTGAGGTGTTTGGGGGGTAAAGTAGAGAAATAAATAGCATGGCATTAAGCTGCTCCCCAGGGAGAAGGAGGAAATCACAGTCAAGGCCACCCTAAGGTCCTCCGATCTCACAGGCTAGAAGGTAATACTGATCTCCTTTGGGAGTTGTTCAGAAACCTCGCCCCATAAATCTCACTTCACAGCACTACAGAGAGTTGGTAAATAATGGATGAAAGATGTCGTGAAATTGGCATTATCAGCTATGCTATGATCAGCTCTACAATTAGAACTCCCCTGTCCTTTTGAATAATTTAAACCCAAAGTGCAAACACAACTGACAGCGGAAGGCCCAGGTGAAATGGAAGAAGAGAACTATTAGAACCCCCCTGAGGGCGATTCCCTACATTGCTGGGGGGAGAACACACGGTTAGAGTTCCCTGTCCCTGGAGCTATTACGTTATCTGATTAAACTTGCTGTTAAATAGACCCTAGCATCAGTCTAGATGCCACAGTGACTTGTACGGGGAAGCCTAATCAGTCCACCATCTGACCACTCACCAGGCATCTTGATTTACAAGCCCATAAAACTGCAATATGCTTGCAATTCGGTCTGCACCGTCTTCTCTTGCCCTCTAGGAAGCCTTCTCAGGCTGAAGCAGGAAAATACAACAGTCTGCCCTTGCGGGCCCCCATTTGGGCATAGAAATTTGTGAATTTTACCTCCTGTTATATGCGTACCCTTCGTCTCAACCTTACACATACTTAGCTTTGAACTATGTATGGGTAATGGGAATACTTGAGGTTGGCTTCGTAATTTCATTTTGTCTTCTTGTACCCTAAATATATTTGTTCTGTTAATTAAAGTCCCCTAGATTGGAATCTCCTAAAAGGCAGGAACCCTCTGCAAAAACTCCTCTCCAAGATTATGCATCAGAGAGGAAGGTGTGAGGGTCGCCAGTGAGCCAGGGCTGCAGCAGCAGGAACCAAAGAAGCAAAGGCACCCGATGCGAGGACAATTGGCCTGACTGGATAGGCTGGCGCACTCCTTTGCGAAGGAGGAGAAAAGCAAAAGACAAGATCCAGATTATTCCATCCCTGTGACTTAAGGAGACTAGCTGGGCCACTGAGGGAACATCAGGCAGGGTGAGAACAAGTCCCATACCACAGGGTCACTTTAAAACAAGTTCTCTGGAGGCTTAGAAGAAAAGTAAAGTAGCTGTTTCTTTTGTGGCCCAATTTGGGCAACCTTAATAAATGTGTCACTTATCCACAGAAATGTTGAGCTTTTTCAGATGAAGAATTTGATTCTATAGCGATGAAAATTTACCATCTGCCGTTTGTTCTCCACGAGGTTTGATCCGATGATTCCAAGGAACGATCCAAAGCCGAGCTGCAAAGCAACATGGCACAGATAGTACGTGGGAAGATGGTTAACCTGACCGCACGGTCGTTCCACCCCTGGGATACAATTCAGGATAACAGAAAATACCCGGGGTACAGATGCTAAACCCGTGCAGCTGTTACACAAATACAGTATGAGTAAGAAAAGTATTTCTCCCACCATTTGCCAATTTTTCCTCGTAGATATGAATCACACCTAAAAAGAAACTCGTGTGCCCAGAAAAGTCAACCATAGCTTTTCAGTGCCTGCTTATTTCAATTTCAATATCCATTACCTAGCATGTGACTGGTGAGTCAGTAAGAGACGGATAATGGTGAAAAGCACGCATTATATTCTGATCTTTATCTTTTCTTTGAAATGAGACCTTCTATCCTGATGCACGAATTACAAAATAAAGGTTTGAAATAGCGATTTTTGATGCATCGGGCACGCTAATCAAACCCAGGAATTACTTTAGAAATCAGCAAGCACCTTAACCTAGACTTAAAAAAAAAAAAAGAACTATTTTTTTTGAAAGCCTGTATTTGTGGTTGACCCACTGCAATTTATGTTAGCACTTATTCACCTCTTCTTCCAACTCTGCTTCATTTATGGACAGAAAGCATTCATTAAAGGGTGAATAGAAATGGCAGTGTAAAATCCTGAAAAACAATTTCCCTGTCTAACTGGCTGGGATGATGGTTCAGGGTAGCAGATTCCACTTTACTCTCAGTTCTGCCATTAGTGGATTGAGTCTGCCATTCTCAGCTGAAAATGATCACTAACCAATGGCTGCTGTCAGGGGTGAAAGTGGAAAAAGTAAAAAGTGGTGGGAATGGACCAATAAATCTTAACACAAGTCCGGCAATGTAGTTACATTTCTCTTGAGCCTCACTAAGGATCTGGCTTTCCATCTGCCGCCTTACCTTGGCTCACAGGGACATCTCTTTCAGTCTGAGGACCCCAAGCCTTACACCAAGTCTTGGAAATCTAATGGACCCAAGGGCTGGGCAGGAGCCTGGTGGGGCAGTGTAGGGGGACTGGGTGCTTGCCTCAGAAACCCAAGCATGAAAGAAGAGAATGAATGGAAGGAATGAATACAGATTTCCAAGGACTCATTCTGCAGGGCCACTCAGCCAGCAACCCCTCTTGAGAAATAGAAGCTGAAGAGAATAAAGGTGTAACCCATGCCGTCCAAGACTCTACTGAGAACATCCTCACTCAATGGTTAAACTGTGCCTGTCTCCCGCCTGGTCTTATTTGAAATGTAATTAAAATGTGTTGTGATGAAGTATAATGATTAAAACCTGGTCATCAGACTAGCCTGGCTTCTAACCCCAGCTCTTCCGCTTGGGGCTGTGTGACTTGAACAAACTGACTGACCTCTCTAAACCTCAGTTTCCTTATCTGGAAAATGGGCACCATAGTAGTAGCTGTCTTATAGGATTTTTGTAAGGATTATCCAGGACAATATAGTCAAAGAACTTTGCACAGGCCCTGGCACACAGTAAGTACTCAGTAAATACGAGTTATTGTTCTAGTGATTATTATTACTTTTTTTTTTTTTGTAGTATGCGGGCCTCTCACTGTTGTGGCCTCTCCTGCTGTGGAGCACAGGCTCCGGACGCGCAGGCTCAGCGGCCATGGCCCACGGGCCCAGCCGCTGCGCGGCATGTGGGATCCTCCCGGACCGGGGCACGAACCCGTGTCCCCTGCATCAGCAGGCGGACTCTCAACCACTGCGCCACCAAGAAAGCTCTATTATTACTATTTTTAAAGGCACTTAACTTTGGGGCAGCTCTAACCTGATTTGAGCTGGCAAATCCTATCATTATTTGCTCTTTTTCATAAGAGTTTCGTATTCTGTCTTATCTCCCCTCCCAATATGTTGCACAGCTTTTATTTTTCAGGAAGAATTCCATGAATAGCTTGTGCTTATGACACTCTGGGCCATTTGTGGAGACTGAAAGAAAGTCAGAGGGCAGTTTCTTACATGGAATAAGTCTTCACTGAGTGGTTCATCAGTTTCCACAGATGTTCACTGAATGCTCTTCTGAGCCTCAACAGCAGTCTTTCCCTTAAGACGGGAAGCAAAGACACTCGCTCTTCCTGACACTCTCAAATAACTCTCTGATGGCAGTGACCGGAAGAGGTGGCCTGAAGCCTCATGGAATTGGCTGGAAAGACAAGGTGCTCTGGGACTGGAAATCCCAGGCCAACCAGTTACTTCATCCAGTTCCCGCCCCTTTCCTTCCATTCCATTTCTATTCCACTCCAACTCATTCCATTTACTAACCCTCACTGAGTACTTTTGGGAGATAAATAAGATGACATGGCCCCTACCCTGCAGGAGTGCATAGTCTAGTGAGGGAGAGACAGACTGTGGCTTAAGGACCACAGGCGAGGTAGAAACAAAGTGCTGAAGGAGCAGAGAATAATTCATTTTGTATTATATCCTTGGCTCTGCTACTTACAAACTGTGTGACCTTGGGCTAGTTCTTTAGCCACTCTGTGCTTCGGTTTCCTCATCTATTAAATGGGAATCATAATGGTCCTGACCACACAGGACTGCTGTGAGGATTAAATGAGATAAGGTATGTACGTAGCGTGACCTGCATAAGGTAGGCTGCTAAATACATATACATGGTCATTCTCAGATCTCACAGAGGGGATAAATGGGGTCAAAGACAGGTAGAGTTCACCAGGTGGGGAACTAATATCAATTGAGTCCTGGCTGGAAGAATTCATTCATCTGGATGACAGGTTTATGAACTAACTCACCAGTATCACTAAAACTACCTTACATTTGAAGAGCATTTGAATTTAAAGAAGTGCTTGCCCTCCACCTTGGTCACAGTCAGGGAGTTCGGTGGAGCTCATATCATCCCCATTTGATAGATAGATAGCAAAACGGAGGCCTAGAGAATTGTATGGACTCATCCCGTCTTACAGCAAGTCCACGGCAGGGGCAGGACGAGCCCTCAGATCCCCTAACAGCTGGTGTTCTTCCAGCCACACTTTGCTGTATTTGTGTCCAGTGTTAGCAGAATAGTGACCTTCACCGCTGCCCCCCAGGGAGGAAGTTCCCTGTAAGGATGGAGTGAGAAGTCCTATTTGAGGAAGAGCTGAGGGGGTGAAAGTAAAGGAGGAAAACTCAACAGAATTTCCTGAAAATGGGCAGCTGCTTCTAATCAACTGTTTGCTCTCCCGAGGCCTCCGAAAGGTAAGCTCTGTGGTCCTTGCTCGAGAACTGCCCAGTATCATGGAATGTTCAGACCTTTGGAACTCCATCTTGACTCCCCATTACCTGAACAAATAACCAGTTTGCTTTGTTTTGGCTGCCCTCCACTTGTAGGAGAAAAAAAATGCAAATCATTAGAACTCAGATTCAAGAGCTCTTTTTAGGCTGCACCCTATAATCTATGCCTATTCCTATCCACTGGGACTGAGGTGCAAATGGATTAATCATTCAACAAGTATTAATTGGACATCTACTCTGTGGCAGGCACTGTGCTACACCTGTGATCTGGAGGCCAGGAAGCGGGGTGGGGTATGATAACAAGACCAAGGAGACTCAGCCTGGAGGAGCTGTAATTAGATAATGGGTCCACAATCCCTTTCTGTAATCCTGAAATCAACAAAGCTCTTAAAACCAAAAGGGTTTTTGGTAACTAACTTGGTGGCAAAACCTGACCTTGAACTGACATGAGGTTATTTTATAATGTTTATCTACTTAGTGTAAAAATTCACAGTTTATTGTAGAAAGATGAAGGTGCTTGATTATGGGGTATATCTCAAGACCCCACTGGGATGTTAGATAATATATGATATATACAGTCTATTATCTTTCTGAAATTAAAAACAAAACAAAACAGTCTAAATTTGCAAACACATCTCACCCAAGGGTTCAGATAAGGGATTGTGGACCTGTATAAACAAAGTTAAATGAGAATATAGCCCAACATCCCACAAAGCAGAATGTGACTATTTCCCAAGAACTATGAGTGGAAGGAATCTACGGTAGGGAGTTCAAAGATGGTAGACACCACTGTGGATCCCAGTAGCTGAGAAATGTCCCAGCTGTGTCTTTAAGTTGGAATAGGACAGAGCATTTGGATAAACAGAGAGGGAGGGAGCACAAGGAGGACGTTCCAGCCCAAGTCACATTCAGGGGACTGTGAATTGACAATTTTGGTAAAAGAAAGGTACGGGAGACCAGGCCAAGGGCATCTTCAGAGAGCTTTGAATGACAATGCTAAGGAGGCAACAGGAAGCTGATGAAGGTTAGTCCTATCTAGCAAATCAAGACTCAAGTGTCATCTCTGAAATGTACTTACTAAGCTAGGAACTTTATCTTAGAATGGTCTTATATTTTAGAAACATTTTCAACAAGAGGTAGAAAAAATTTCTGCCTAATTCACAATAAACCACAAAATCCCACCATCCAGACCTCCTTCTATTTCCTGAACATTCAAGTTAGTCAAAACTTCGCTGGATTTATCAGGAGTCTTCACATGTGAAGCTGAAGCCACGCTGGCCTAGAGAAGGTTTCTGGCCTATTGACTGTTTTGAATGATCCCTGTTGTCTCTGCCTCCTACTACCCCATGGCAACTCTGATATAATTTTCAATTAACTGGACACCCCCCCTTCCCCCGCCTGGGAGAGGGGACAGAAGCTCCTGCTTTCTTTCCTAAAAGAAAACCCAGGCTGGTGTGGGCCCTAGCAGTATAACAGCTGGTGGAGAAGGTTCTAGAGTGAAAGGCTTTCAGCGCTGATCAGGTGGCCAACCCCATCTTGTGGGTTGCATGCGAAACACATGTAGAGGCCTTGTTCTCCTGGATGTAAGGTTAGAGAGCTATAGAGAAGGAGCTGGCTCTCTCCCCTGCCTTTCCCATCTTCATACAACTGAGGCTCTCGGGTTTTTTTTAGGCCTCCAGAGTAGAAAGCTCACTGGAACGCTTCTGGAACGGACTATGTCTTGAACATTCGAGGACAGTAAAAATCCTAAGCCAGTTTGTCTTTCTGTGTTGGTTTTAATTTTTAAAAAATTTTACATTTTAGCCTGTACAGATGAGCACATCTTTAAAGACACCTGTTGCATACATGTCTTAGGATGATGATACCACATTCTAGCTCAGGTAGAGTAGCTAACACCCTATCATAATGCACCTCACTGTACAAGGACATCTCGTTTGGCAAAATAAAGATGGCTCAGAAAAGTTTTGTGTGACTTAGAGTTATGCAAACACGATTATATCTTTCAATGCCTGAGATCTCAATATTTAAATGAATTGTATGGTAAGTAGTCTTTAAGTCGTCTTTAAATCTAGTAACTGCTCCCTAATTTGTTTGTTTTAAATTTTTAAATTCTCACGTACACATTTAACCAGAGTCTTAAAACAGCACAGTTCCAAATAACCTGACATTTTCCCACAAATCTATACGATGGTCTTTATATTCAAACTGACCAATTTGATAGTGTGGAATCTGAAAATGACACATTTTGCTCATTCTGGTTTTATTGCAAGCAAGCATACTTTGTTTATTGTGGTTTTTTTTTTACATCTTTATTGGAGTATAATTGCTTTACAATGGTGCGCTAGTTTCTGCTTTATAACAAAGTGAATCAGTTATATATATACATATGTTCCCATCTCTCTTCCCTCTTGCGTCCCCCTCCCTCCCACCCTCCCTATCCCACCCCTCTAGGTGGTCACAAAGCACCGGGCTGATCTCCCTGTGCTATGCGGCTGCTTCCCACTAGCTAGCTATTTTACGTTTGGTAGTGTATATATGTCCATGCCACTCTCTCACTTCGTCCCAGCTTCCCCTTCCCCTTCCTCATGTCCTCAAGTCCATTCTCAACGTCTGTGTCTTTATTCCTCTCCTGCCCCTAGGTTCTTCAGAAACATTTTTTTTTAAGATTCCATACAGATGTGTTTGCATACGGTATTTGTCTTTCTCTTTCTGACTTACTTCACCCTGTATGACAGACTCTAGGTCCATCCACCTCATTACAAATAGCTCAATTTCGTTTCTTTTTATGGCTGAGTAATATTCCATTGTATATATGTGCCACATCTTCTTTATCCATTCTGTTTATTGTGTTTTAGTTCTCCCGGTGGTTGCCGATCCACCTGAATTAGACTCCCCTGGGGTGTTTATTAAAATACACACCAAGGTGGGGAAACCACTGGCTTAGAGTTTACACAATACCTCTCTAATAACCAAACTATTCAATTAGTGAAAGCACCCCAGTCCCGGATAAATCTGGATTCTCAGGCATTTATTGTTTCAGAGGTATGAGTTGTTTATTGTATTTGTTATAACGTGATCTGACCTATCAACTTAAATGGATTTTTCTGGTCTTCAATCTGCAGTCTTCCCCCCTTCTTCACTTCCCATAACTAAAACCCATTTTAAAGAAAATCTACAGGAACTATAAAAGCAAAAAAAATTAAGGTTAAACCATAGGGCACACTGCTAGGGCTGGCTCTCCTATTAACATTTCCATATTAGCTCTTAGCCAGACGCACACGCACAGACACACGCCCCCACTGCTTCAACTTCCAGTGCTAGCTGAACGTCAGGTACTCCAATAACAACAATCACGCGCCCTCCTTCCTTTGTTAATGTATTCCAACCCAGCCACCCACAGGCAGATATTCTACAAAGAAGGTTCAGAAGCACCGTTCATGAATAGTAGTTGCTACTCTTAAATGACATGGAAAATACCTTCCTCTCACCCAGGGAGAGTCTGAATCTTGGCTTGAGCATTTGCTCATCAGTCAGAAACCTTTTACTAAATGCAGCTACCTGAAGCCCACGAAGTCACGCAGACCCTATAAATTGCTTTCCCGAGCCACCAAAATGCAATCTTACCCCCCCCTTCCTCTGTCCCCCGCCACTCTTGTGTTTAAAAATAAAACCCAATTCTGCTGATGACTGGTTTTCTTGCCTCACCACAGGAAGTGGACCGGGTGAGTTCTCACATCACATGCTTAGCAGAGGGCAGCAGACGGTGTCTGTGGGACACCTGCCCTCGGCTCGGCTCAAGAGCTGCGAAGGAACTTCCCGGGAAGGGCGGGCGGCCTTCAGCAGCTGGGCCCCAGTGTCAGGCCCCAGCTCCGCTAGGGCTATTGAGAAGGCTGACTGCGGAATCGGTGACCTAGGCAACAGGCGTCAGGCTTGGTCACTCCCGGCGCTGGTTTGTCAAAGGCATCCATCTTTAATCCCTTCCCCTTTCTTTGCTTCTCTTTCCAACACCCCCCACTCCAAAAAAAGAGTAAAAAAGAAAAGAAACAAAACAACAGCAACAAAGCCATCTGCCCTCCTTGGTAACCTAAAATGTAAACAACAAAAACAACAAAAACCCACCCTAACCTTCCTTCCCGCTCTCTAGCAGTTAAAATTGGGAAGTCATTTAGTTGATATTCAAAATACGATCCAACCTCTAGAGTTAGGTTTTAGGGTTCAATAGCAGTGTGTGTAGATCCAAATGAGGTTTTTGTTTGGTTTTCTTTTTCTTTTCTCTTTTCCTCAATTATATTGAGGTATAATTGGCAAATAAAATGGTATATATTTCATTTCATTTCATATACAACATGACGATTTGATATAAAATGAGGTTTTGTATGCAAAGAGTTCAGCGCTTTCCAGAGTGGATTGCATGCAGCCCGGGGATGGGTAAAACAATCCACTGAAGTATGGAAAGAAACGATTTGAACTCTTGTTTCCTATTTTTTGTTTATCTAAAAGAATAAGAAAGAAATTACGCGTTACAAATATTCAATGAACATACTGTCACTGGCGCCCTCCCTCGGTGTGAATGTCAGGTGACAAGGCGAGAGCTATCGTTCTGGAGGAGGGCAGGTTCCAAGCAGCAAAGGTTTGGTGGTGGGGCAGCCACCACGTGTGCCCGCATAGTCTTATCTAGGCTTCACTAAACTAGTCCCAAGAAAACGGACAAGGAGTTTGGAAAGACTCCTGTTGGTAAACCATGAGTTGAAGATGACCCTAATAATGTAACACAGCGAGAAAATGACAGAGCTGACCCTTGGAACTCTCAGGGTGAGCTCTTTGTCAGCCACACTGTGAGATCACATTAAAAATCAATGATGCTCATGACAATCTGTTCATATCTGAGAAGAAAGCACAAAATATTCAAAATTATCTAGTAAGCTATTCGAAATAACGACTTACAGCCACTATCTTTAATGAGATTTCATGCGAAGTGCATACCATTCCTTGAAATTTTAGCTAGTGTTAGTATGAAGATATTAAAAATTAAAGTGTATTTCATTTTCATCTAATTTTTGATCTTCCATTTTTGTATGTTTTACGAATATGCATATAATTTGTAAATGAATAAATACACATATTTGAGGAGTAAGCATTCCACATAGTTTTCCCTGAGAGGAGGGCAGGATGACTTTGGAGATCAGTGCTGTCAAGCTGCAAGGGTCCTCGGATTTCAGGTAAGGTCAGGTGACCCCTATTATATATCTAGGAAAGCAGATGCCCAGAGAGGAAAGGACCTCAGCCTAAGGTTAACACTGCTAATTAGTAACATGTCCTAGACCAGAAAACCGAGGTCCTAAAGAGTGAGATGACCTGCTCAGGATCACACTGCTAGTTAGGGATGGTGCTGGGATTCTTCTGAGTCTTAGTTCAGTGCTCTTCTAAACCAGCCCAGAGGAAATCTGAGCAAACACAGAAACTCAAACAGAATCGAAAACCATCAGAGTAGAACCAAATGTCTGTAGCCAGCAAGCTACTGAGACCTACCTATGCCTTTGATACTCACAATAACTCCCGGGTAGTAACCTCCAACAGTCACATTCTGGGTCCTGGTGGTTGCGGCGAGGCCCACCGTGAGAATTAACACGGACACGATAAGCAAAGTCACGGTGACATAGATGGAGTTTCGTTTCCTCCGATTAAAGGCTCCTGAAAGCACACAGAGAAACTGAAATTGCTCATTTCGGCTGGAGAAGGGATGGACTTACAGAAAAAATTCACTAGGAAGGTTTTCCTTTCCTACTTCAACTGGTAACTGGGGCTATCTCTGGGGAGTGGGATTATGGGGAAGAGATGGAGCTTTAGTTTTTTGCAGTCATCAGGTGTTACGTTTACAATAATATATATATATATATATATATATATATATGTTTCCAGTTTGAAAATAAACAACAGAAGGAATTGTACCAGTTAAATAAAAACAAAAGTAAACGCATTCGATAAAAGATGGATCATACCCACTTAGTAAAGCGTTTCTTTTTTAAGCCAAATTATAAGGTACATGATAGATGGAAAGTGTACTGTGGAGATATTAAATGAAAATATTTTAAGGCCAATATGCAACTAAGGAGGGTTTTTTCATAAGCTGGAGATATGAAATTTCATTTTCAGTGTAAATATCAGAACCAAGCCAGGTGCTGGGATTTTTTTTTTTCATTTATTTCTGACATTTGCCACCTCATGTATAAACTTTAAAAATGGTGTGTTGGCAAGATTTGCCACATAACAAATGTGTGTAATAAAGTTAAGTGTTTGGAGGCCATTAGTCCACAAAGATACGTATCGGGGGAGGTAGATGGGGAGGATTATAACTTACACCGTTTAGGCTTATAAATAAAAACAAACATAAATACAAACATAAATACAAACATAACATAAATACAAACATAAATACAAATGATGAGAAACCCGTTCTCCTCAGTGCTTATCGGACATGATAGTGCAAACCAATATTTTTTTTCGAAAACAGGCTTATTAAGTCAGATAGAAAAATGGTATCTAGACTCGCTTTTGAATTTAACTTGTTTTCCCTAAGGAATGAAGCACCGCTCAACGCTCTGCGTGCGTTTTTTCTGGAGGGGGCTCTCAACAGGAAATACCAGGGATGAGTTACACCTAGGAGTTCCCGTAAAAATAAGCAACTGGGGGACTTGCTGTGAGAGTCCAGGTCTCTAGTGGGGAGCCTTATGACAGGGTTGCCCACTCAGGTGGCTTGGCTGTCATTTATGGGCCTAAAGAGGCCACTTGGGACTGATTGCAGGACCCCGCCATTCTGGGAGGCCTCGCTGCAGCCTCAGGAAGCAGCTGCCTTTGAAGCCGCCCAGACTGCACCACTGGGAGGGAGGGGAGAGGGGATGAAGGAAGGGGGAGGGAGGCGAGAAAACCAGGGAGACCCAGGAGGCCTGATGGTGCCGGGAGGGAGGCACTGTGGCTGGCTCTGCAGCCCCCAGCAGATGCCCCCTCCTCGAGGGAAGAGA